CCACCCACACTTATCAGGACAAATTGTTTATGTCACAAAAAGAAACAAGGCTCACAGCTAGGAGTTGGAAAACATTTAAAAAGTTAACTACAGTGCACCAGAATGAAAGTCAACATGGTAGGATGTTGAAATGATGGTCTATTTGGTTCTTATCATCTATTATGTTATCAGACCAGGATCTCATTGCTATTGATGTAGCATATCATAGGTCATGCTATGTAGTATACACAAAACCATGTAGCTTGTCTGCTATTCAAAAATCAGATGGTAATAAGAGTTTAGTTCTATTCATACATTGTACTAGTATCACAAATTACACTATTAACCTACCAGTTTATTGGCATGACATGATGTGATTAGAATATTCACACCAAGATGCATACAAGCAGATCAAGGCATGAGAGTTTGCAGTTCAAAGAAGTGATTAGAATAGTTTTGTATAATTCCCTGTAGAACAGTCCATGGATCACACATTAACCATGATACAAAGACCAATGAGGGGATCGTAGGATTCAGTCTACAAAAAGGGAGGTGTTCAGTGCTGGCTGATAACATCTCATGAACATGCAGCAATGACACACTTTTGCAGAGAAATTCACAAGCGCAATTAATCTCTACATTAACAGTGAGGGTATCTGAGAGATGTTATACTTAAAGCAGACAATGACCTATGTGCACAACTGTTGGTCATTGCTTGAGCAAGAGATATGAACCTGCCCTGCAGGTCACTTGCTGCTACTAATGACACATTAGCAAAGACCAAGTTCAGATGTAGATCCTGCAAAAGATATAGCACAATCAGCAACATGGATTGTAGATAGGATGGCAGTATTACTGTCTTTGAAAGATGTTCTGACAACCTTTGAATCTCTTGCAGAATTAGAGTTCAATGTTGTGGGAGCAGCTAGAAGACACTTTCCATACAGAGAACGTTTGCTCCCAGTATGCTTCATGCACACATATGCCCTTCTGCCACACATGGATTAACACAATAACATACACAAAAATGGTGGTGGTGGTCAGTTTTCTTTCGCACTTGCTCCGCCCTAAATATGTGCATACCTAAAACTGTGGCATGGCTATTATTATGCAAATCCATATGTTTCAGAGGTGTGCGTGTGCGTGAAACATGCTGGGAAGAAACGCCCTCTGAGTTGATGTCATGTTGTGACACAACTATCTGATTTGGCAGCAAGGATTGTTTTTGTTACTGATAATGCAGTATCCTAATACATCAATAAAGAATACAGAGAGGTGTAGGAGAGTTAACGATTAGTGGTGGTGTCCAAAAATGTCCAAAGCAATGAAGAAATACCTGACTAAGTTTACCTTTCAGCAATGATGTACACACAAATATTCCAACAAACTGAATAATCAGAGTTTAGTTTGCTCATGGTGATAAATGTCATATGCTGTTTTCTGATAATGCAAAGGATATCAGTGAGAATGTCCCTGAGCTCCAGTTCACACATGAAGGGGTGGATACAAGATTACTCTTGCATGCCAACCATACAGCACATCATGGTGAAGGTACAATTGTAATCAGATCTCCTGATACAGACATGTGAATCTGGGATTGCCACTTCCACCATAAAATACCAGCAAGTTTACTTGTATACAATAGGAACTAGACCTGAAACACATACCTAGATGTTAGTGCGATCACAAATAAAGCTGTCCATGATGTGTGCTGTACCAGGCTTGCATGCCTTCACTGGATGTGATTCAACTAGTGCTTTTGCTAAAAAGTTCAAGTAGATAGCCCTTAATATGGTGACCAATGCTACTGACATGTGTCAAGCAATGAACTCACTTGGTAATGATTTTGACATTATTGTCAGTGTCAGACATGCATGTGTAAAATGTGGCTGTGCAATGTATGGATATGCTGGTGGTGATAATGTGAATGAATTCTGCATCAAGAACAGGCAAATACATAGTCTGCTCTAATAAACCATGTCAAGTGTTCAAATTATCAAGCTGTCATATGGTGTTGTGTATTAGTGCCAGAACCTAACGTCCCAAATCTAGATTGGCATGGATAGATAGACACAGTCATATCAATCAAATGGATTTCTCACGTCCAGCTCCAGAAGCATTACTACAGCTAGTCATTTGTGGAAGCACTGAACAATGTATCACATTGTAGATACTTAAGGAATTGTTTAGCATGTGCCAATGTACAGATAACTGAGAAAATCTACATAATTACAAAGATAAGAACATTGATGACAGTGATGGTGTTAACATTAAGACAATGTTTATATATGCATATAACAACTATTCAACATGTTACTGTTTGTCATCTAAAAAAGCTGACCCGTATACATGTATACCATATTTTATGGTATACTGTGTATATATCAACCTACATTTCTAGAATTTCAATCCATAGCAAACATTAATTTTCTGAGGCAATTCAGTAGCACCAATACAAACTACTTTATACTTATTTATAAAATTTCCGTCCCTAGCAATGGTTGTTGCTATGGAAATATGAATCAACTATACTTTGGGGAATTTAGAAAAAAATAAAATATTGACAAAATACACATGGCATGTTCATTTAATTTGATATACACATAAAGAGCCATGTGTAACCACTAGTCGTTTGAAAATACAATATTGTACTGCATAATTTAGGCGGGTCTTTTATGCATTGTTATCACTGCTTCTGGACACCTTTTCAGCTTGGTAACAAGCAGATTCAGATTCTCCAAGATTTCAGTGAAAAAATAAAACCAAGAAACCTTTGTTGCCAGGGGCTGTAGCCAAATCGCCATTTTCCAGATTTGGCTTATAGATTATGGACAATACACATATATTTTCATCCCAATATATGATTTGGCTGGGTTGAGAGATTTCTATACATTTTGCCTTACAGTCAAACTTGTCTATATTGGCCATTCAGGGGACTTTGAGGTTTTGGCCTTTACAGACGGGGTGGCCTTTACAGACGGGGTGACCTTTACAGACGAGGTGACCTTTACAGACGGGGTGGCCTTTACAGACGGGGTGGCCTTTACAGACGGGGTGTGGCCTTTACAGACGGGGTGTGGCCTTTACGACGGGGTGGCCTTTACAGACGGGGTGGCCTTTACAGACTGGGTGACCTTTACAGATGGGGTGGCTTTTCAGGACGGGGTGGCCAATACAGAAGGGTGGCCTTTACAGACGGGGTGGCCTTTACAGACGGGGTGACCTTTACAGACGGGGTGCCTTTACAGATGGGATGGCCTTTACAGACGGGGTGTCTTTTCAGGGCGAGATGGCCAATACAGAAGGGTGGCCTTTACAGACTGGGTGGCCTTTACAGACGGGGTGGCCTTTACAGATGGGGTGGCTTTTCAGGACGAGGTGGCCAATACAGAAGGGTGGCCTTTACAGACGGGATGGCCTTTACAGACGGGGTGACCTTTATAGACAGGGTGGTCAATATAGACGGGGTGTCCATTATAGACGGATGGCCTTTACATACAAAGTTACTAAATTATTCATGAATATTAATTGGTCTATAGGCCTTGAAATCTGTGATTAGACAGTGAATTTTTTTTTTAGATTTCCTTATAGTTATCAAAAATTAATACATTGTTTTTTTGTAAATTACTAACACATGAGTTATCAAGTGGCCCACGTATCAAAATACCTGTTGAAAAGCTGGCCATCTTCCACATTACATTGACAGTTAAACAATTGAGAACCATTGCTGACAATCTGGAGTCAGTTGAACGGCTTTACTGCAATCATCCATTATTGTATGTCTTGGGACACCAATTAATAACTGCAAAATACATAAAACTACTGTAAAACAAAGTTGAAAAATTTTGGTTGAACGAACAGTCCCACTGAAAAGCAAAATGACAATTTTACCCTGGGCTTGTTTCAGTGACCTCATAGCACACAAATACCAAAGTGCATGTGTAAGGCTGCTGATTTTTTTTGCATTGATCATGCTATAGATACATATTTTCATGAACTTCAAGGTAAATAAATGCCCATATTTAATGACTAAATAGGTGGGAATGCTTTTTTAATTTGCTGTAATGAAAGGTGAACCCATTAAATATTTGATCTAAAATTATCTCTGATATTGCATGATTTTAGATAAGACCAGTCGTGAGAATTTATTTTTTTCCCAATGTTCCAAAGCCATTTATTTTGTTAATAATAAAATAGGATGAAAAATATGATGTGGAGTCCTTTTTGGAGTTGTTGCAGCCTCAATCTATCATTTTAGACAGCAATTAACAAGTTCAGGGACTGCCCGGTGAGCTAACATACACTTTGTCTTGAAAATGCATGAACCGTTATAGCTAACATACAAGAATTCAAATGCAGATTAAAATGTCCCCCAATGAGGTACCAAATAGTTTTTAACATTCGGCTGCACAAAACTTTTTAGGGGGGTCATGTTATAAAATTGTCATTTACTTTTATTTTAATATTGATCTACTAAACATATGCAAGTGAATATACTGGAAAGTAATCTTTTGAAACATCACATTATAGGCATACACTTGCTTGAACAATTTTATCAATATGATTTGGATGCTTTACTTGTCATGTTCAGCCACAACAAACATGACCACACATTTAGTGATGTAACTTTTGGAGAAAATCTTTTCAAAAAGATGATTGTTCAAATCAAAACAAGTCCTTTTGATTTCATTGAAATTGCATGCTGTTGTGTTTTGGCAAATAGATTTCATATCCTCCTATATGTTTGTTGTAGTGTTATTTATCACATATTTTCATAGTTTTCTGTGGTATACACGGTTTCACCCTGCCTAGTCCCAGCAGTTGATAATTGAAAATGTACAAGGCAGTATTTATATATAACAGTATACATGCAGCTTTTATTTTATTTCATGTTTTTACTTATTTCCAAGTCTGTTTATGCTAATGACATCAACTCTCATGAAAACATGTTTCTTTTTGTCAGTTTACCATAACTCATCAATATAAAAGTAATTGTGATATGAATATGTTTATATTTATAGAATGAAAGCAACTGTTTACATACGGCATGCGGTGGTGGTAGTAATGAGGCTGTTAAATACTTCCTGGACAAGAATTATTTTGGTTTAGAAGACAAAAACAAGGTAGGAATTGATATCAAGGGGATTCATGTATTGTAGTGTTCTCACCAAAGTGTTGAAAAAAGAATCCAGATAAAATGATCAAATTATGGAGAATTACGAGAATTACTCAATATTGATTTTAGCTTAGCTGTACTTGCCTGGTCATAAGCCCCTCCCTAGGTATAAGCTCACCCCTTATTTTTAGACATTGAGTTGAAGGCTTTCTTGGTTATAAGTTTGGGGGTGTTTTTCACAGGGGGGGGGGTAGATTAATTATTTGTTATTTTTATTTGACCAGTTCAAAGCAAGGTGGTACCACCATTATTTGTATTTGACCAGTTCAAAGCAAGGTGGTATAATCAGCAATCATTAATATGCAAATTATTCACATGACGTACAATACTGCAGTTACCCAAAATTATGGTATGTCTACACACCTGACATTGTCTTGTAATGTTTGGTTGCTTAAACACATAGCATTCCTCTGACTCATTGTAAAATTTCCTGGCCAAGCTTCAACACAGTCTCTTCCATCTTGTGATGTAAAAACAAAAATCAATCTCCAGCCACTGTAATGAAAACAATAGGAATGATGTTGTTACCAGAGTTTATTATAAAGACCATGTTGTTGCCAGGGAAGTTATATATGTACATGGTTCCCAAATCGATATTATTTATGAAATGATTTTTGATTATGGCCTGATTAAACATCAAAATTACAGCATATTAATTCAATTTGAATACTTTTGATACATACACGATTGATAACAAGTCATTGTTGATGCTAGTCTCAGTCCAGTTATTAGTGACTGTGTGTATTAAATGTTGGGAGAGTATTCAGCATGATAAGGTGAAGACAACTTTCTTGAAAAAAAATCAGTCAACTATGTCTCAGAAATGATAAAACCAACATGGCCACTAGTCAGCCATCATGAATCAAATCAGTGTATCAAAACTATCATCTGAAATGTTCATACTAAATTTGAATAGAATCAATCAAGACATGACTGAGAAACAATCAATGACATGTTCAAATTTTGAAGAACAAGCAACCAATTATGCATTGCTTTTGCACCAAATTTGAACAAAATCTGTAAAAGTGTATCAAAGACCTGAGAAGACTAATAATAATATGGCCACAAGTCAGCCATTTAAATCAGATTGCAAAAGAATTAAATAACCCACCATATGTGACATCAATGCGAAGTTTGAATAAAATCTGTAAAAGTGTACCAAAGACCTGAGAAGACTAATAATAATATGGCCACAAGTCAGCCATTTACCGTAGTCTGTATAAAAGTTTGGGAGAAATTTCTTAATCTAGTTTTACTTTGGCAAAGTACACTTTTACGAGACTTTGCTTACGATAATTTGACACTAGATCATTTTTTGTTTACTGCAACATCCCATGTTATGTGCGAAATCAAAGATTATGGCATCGCAGTGGTGTCAAGTCATCACGTGGGATTCTGGGGTATTTTCGCATCAAATGATGTGCTGTACACTTTTTTGTTTTGATGAAAGGTATCTCAACGTTATATTCCCTTCTGAAAGATCAGCATTTTGACATTGAGAAATTAAAAAAAAAATCATTTTATTTTTGCGACAGAATTTGATCTGTGTCTTTCACACATTACACAGGATCTTGCAGTGAATGGAAAATTACCTATTGGAAGATAAAATATGTGAATTTAGAAAGGTCAGAGGTTCTTTGAGATCAAGTGTGAAAGAAATAGTGGGTCTTACAGTCTAATAATAATAACCATAGTGTTGTGTTCAGAACATACATTGAGAGTGATCGTCTCAATGATTAGTTGTTTTGTGGACAGATCAGATAATCATTTCATGCTAAACAGGGTTTCACTAAGTTCTGCAGTAGGCGATTATATTTAGAAAATACACTCAAACCTGTGTATAGCGACCATCCAAAATGGTCTTTATAGACAGGTGGTATTTATATGGAGGTTGGATTATTTTTTTATGGATCACCAACTCATGTTTTTGACCAATTTGTCCAGAAAATAATGAGATGGTACTGTTTATTAAAATCAAATTGTTTTAAGAACACAATGCTGATGATTTTTTTCTTTGGTCTCTAAACAAGTCAGTTCTACAAACAAATTGCAGGTTGCTCATCCTCATACCTCGAGACTACCTATAAGTACCGAGGGGTATGCAAAATATTTTTTTTCAAATGAGACTATGTAAGTAACCACAACTAGGACAACAAGAAGCAATGAGGAGAGACATTTTCACTGTTATAACTTTGCCTTCATCTATGATTGGGACAAGATGCTGGTTATTACTAAGAAACCATGTCTGCTGGTTGTTACAACTAAGAAAATTGCACAAACACTTTAGTTTCATTAGAGTTTTTAAAACATTCCCTTAATATGTAAGAAGTATCGTAGTAAGTGTATCTTTTGTGCCACTGAGCAAATGGGTCTGCTGGCATCTCTGGTCTTCTGTGAAGCCTTGAACAAAGAACACCAAAATCTGTATATAGTTTTGACTGGTCAAGATATGTAAGAGATATATGTATGGTTTTGGAACAGCATCCATAAAAACAAAATGGTCACCAATTTTGAATCCGATCTAAAAAAAATAAAGTGTGTCAAGATAATATTCAATGTGATCCAGTTTGAACGAAAACCGTCATACGACCAAGATCTGGTTCTGGAATAGCAAAAATGCTTGACTGTGATACATTTTTAGCACAAAAATGGACACTATTTTGAATCATAATCTTTAATCATGTGATGATTGGTAACACAAATCCCTGTTTTCAGACTTTGTCTGGCTGCCAGTGCATATGTCCCACATAAAGTACTAGGCACATGCAAAGAATGAGCGTAATTGGTCCAAAGGATTCTGACATATGACTCCGGATGGACGCACGGACAGACGGAGACCGAATTATAAAACCCCGTTTTCGGACTAATAAATCAATCCATTTCATCACACTATGTATAAATCTAGGTTGGGTTAATAATTATAATGTATATATATTTATTATAATCACTTTAGGATGAACTTACATAAAAATAAATATACAAATATGACATAAAACAGACCCACATGTGTTACATGCAATTATGAACACATTATATCAATGTATGAATGTTTTATTTCAGAATGGCCGCACTGCATTAGCCATTGCAAGTAGAAAAGGACATGTTGAAGTTGTAAAAACACTTCTTTCATCTGGAGCATTAATTGAGAGTAAAGACAAGGTATAGTTATTTTCTATTCTTATACTGTTTAATAACTTATATACAGAGAAGGTTGTACAACTGTATTTAGAGCTGATCATTCATAAATATGCAAATGAGATCTGCAAATCCATTCTTCCTTCATTGGCACCACTCACTATATAACATGAGGTTATCATGAGAATACCGCATTAAAGTATTCACAAAGGCAGTACAGTGATCATATCTACCAACACATAGCAGAGGTTGATGCGTTCTGTACTGCCCTAAGTGAATACTTCTCGTGATAATCTTATTATTATACATCTTTATTATTAAAGTCCAAAATGGCAACATTGTGGCACAGTGTCAACATTTGCATTCAGTGACAGGATTCTATTTCTGTTACACGCTATAGCACTTCTACATCCAATGTAAACAAAGGAAAGTGATTGAATGTGATGTCAATAACCTGGAACAAGTCAATGTTGAAAATGACAAAATGTTTATTTACATCAAATTCGAACATGTGTTGCGTGACGACCCCTCCGGTTTAAGACATAGTAAAGAAAAACATAGATCACAAGTGAAAGCATGTCCAAGTTATCACATTTTAAACAAACAAGATGGCCGCCAGTCGGCCATATTTGATCAAATTGCAAATTGAATTGACATGTACATGTATCCATTCATGACATGCTAAATATCAATGAAAATGAAACATGGGTGACAAAGATATAGTAATATGGCCACAAATAAAAACAGCCGTTATTCGGCCATCTTTGATCTGATTTTGAAACAAAGTGACATGTATGATGTATGTGCCAAATACGAATGAAAATGGTACATAAATCTTGGAAATATAGTAGTAAGGCCAAAAAGTCAGATGGCTGTCGATCGGCCATCCTTGATCCGATTTTGAAACAAATTGTCATGGACATGTATCCTAACATGTATGAAGTATGTGCCAAATTTGAATGAAAACTGAAAAAGCATGTCCAAGATACCACATTTAAAAAAAAACAAGATGCCTGCCAGTCGGCCATCTTTGATCCAATTGCGAAAGAAATTGTCATGGACATGTATCCTAACATGTATAATCTATGTACCAAATTTGAATGAAAACTGAAAAAGCATGTACAAAATACAATATTTTCAAAAAACGAGATGGCTGCAAGTCGGCCATTTTGAATCGAATCGCTAAACCACTGCATGTGCATATGTCCCACATAAAGTACTAGGCACATGCAAAGACAGAACGGAATCGGTCCAAAGGATTCTGAGATATGACTACGGACGGACGCACGGAGACCGAATTATAAGTCCCTGTTTTCGGACTTCGTCCGAACGAGGACTAAAAACTTGAATGAGTGTTGATATGTTTTTTTGTGCTAGATGTATACAGTAATAATACCTTGTATAGGCTGTACACTTCTGTGTATCCACAATTGTCATTTTGTCATGCTTGCATACAAGTGAAGATTAGTAAACAGTCACACTTGTACTTATATGCCGATTGTCAATCACAATGCTTTCATTTAAGTGAAGATTAGTAAAGTAACACTTGTACTTACCGGTATATGCTGATTGTCAATCACAATGCTTTCATTTAAGTGAAGATTAGTAAACAGTCACACTTGTACTTATATGCTGATTGTCAATCACAATGCTTTCATTTAAGTGAAGATTAGTAAACAGTCACCCTTGTACTTATATGCTGATTGTCAATCACAATGCTTTCATTTAAGTAAAGATTAGTAAACAGTAACACTTGTACTTATATGCTGATTGTCAATCACAATGCTTTCATTTAACTGAAGATTAGTAAACAGTCACACTTGTACTAACTTATATGCTGATTGTCAATCAGAATGCTTTCATTTAACTGAAGATTAGTAAACAGTAACACTTGTACTTATATGCTGATTGTCAATTACAATGCTTTCATTTAAGTGAAGATTAGTAAACAGTCACCATTGCACTTATATGCTGATTGTCAATTACAATGCTTTCATTTAAGTGAAGAGTAGTAAACGGTTTACTAATCTTCACTTGTACTTTCATAAATCTCAGTTCATAAAGTGGGTCAGTATAATTTGTATTAACTAGGTGGTTGACTGTCAATAGATAAATTGTAACGTTAAAAGAAGAGTGTTGATCAATATGCCAAGGGTATAGGATTCTAATCTACATAACACGGCATATGTAGCACCTTAGCAAATATTGCAGATTCATTTTGTGGTTCACTGCATTTGTTCAAATGATCGATATGCCTTCAATGTCACATGGTACATAGTGAATTATTAATGAGAATACCAAGCATTAAATAATTCCTCATGTATTGATGTAAATTATTGCTTACAAAATCAATAGTTAAGTGTTGTGTTTTTAGCAAAGTCTAAGTGTCATGTTGCATTGTTGTGTGATTCAAGCAACCAATCATTCTGTCATCTAAACAGTTATGTATTGTAATCATGAGTGTATGTTTGAAGTGTCTAGCATTGTACTATTACCAGTGTTCTGACCAGATATGAGACATTTGCCTCATGTTTTATATGTTTGTGCATTTATCTAATGGGTTAAATGATGACTTTTTGTGAGGAGAAACTGTTTTGTCATGACTTATGTTCAAACTTCCAACTGCTGCCACTGGCATAACAGTTTTGTAAAATACATTAAAATAAGTCAAGTGGAAATAAAGTATTTTACAGTAGATAATATTTCTCATTTAAAAAATGTCTGTTGCGTGAAAGTTCCTTTGACAGGAATAAGTGATCACTGTCTGACATATATTGTGTGAGAACATACTTATATTTGTATAAGTATCACGATACTTAAATATCAAATCTTTTGATAGTTCAGTTTTTAACAATGATTTAAATTTAGTTCTATGGAATGTCATTGATATGAATCCAAGCAATGTGTTGCACTATTGGCCAACAATACTCATGTGGGTGGTTGATAAACATGCTCCACTATAGGAGTATTGTGTCAGATATTCAAAACAACCTGAGTGGATGTCAGACAAGATCATTCAAGCAAATGACAGTTTCCGAGTTCTCTGTAAATAAGAAAGTTTATCCCATTACCAACATTTTCAGCCTTTCTTTTTTTATATATATTTTTTGTGCCAGGCGACAGTTCCGGACTTTGAATGTCACTGTTGTCTCTCCTGACTTTTTTTTGTACGTGCAAATTGCAAGTGCTGACACATAGTGCATTTTGCCACAGAAGTCATTTCCTGTTTGGAACTACATGGCAGGGCTGTGCGGCCATCTCCCTATCAAGTGGCAATTTTAATGCGCTATCCTGGCGTCAACCAGGCTTGGTCAAACACAAGCACCTGCGGACCTTAACCAAGGTTCCCCCAAAGTCGCATTCGTTAGTGAATGAATCTCGGCCAGTGGAATTGGCCTTCCCATTGAGTCCGACACACTCACCTAGGGTAGGGGGTCGACCCTTTTGATGTTCAGCCTAAGGTAGGATTTGAACTTGGGTCTACCGATCATGAGTCTAACGCGACAACCACTATGCTACCAGTAACCGGTTTTCAGCCTTTCAGAACGTACAGGACACAGTATAGAATATTAATTCAACATATTTAACAAATCTGTTTCATTCCACACTGAATGTTCATAATCAAATACTTTGTCAAAAGTAATTTCGAATAAATTAAATTTTTATTTTCTAATTTATTTTTACCTGTCAGCTAACAGTGGAAAGTTGCATCACCACAGTCCAGCATTACAAAATCAGTAATGTTCAATCAACCTTGGTTTAACATATTTTAGACAAACAAATTATTCGGAATGGGTCAAATTGCAGAGCTCTATGTTCAATCATACTTTATAATGTAAAGCGTTTCAAATGATACGAACATGAAATAAATAGTCCCAAAGTAATTTTCCATAATGTAGCACTTTTAGATGAAATTCTCGATGGATGTTACTTCTATGCTATCACCTTTTCATCAGCAGTTAATTCTACCAGGGTGTTGTTCCATAGTATGGCATGTTATTTTATTGAAAGTATGTAGAGACCACATGTTATGGCACTGTACAGATTTATTGCTGTCTGTGGTGCTTCTACCAGTTACTCGTCAGAAGAGAGGATATTCCATTCTGCCACAAAGATATATAATGACAAGAAGTAAAATTGAAAGCTGACATCATTTATATGCTCCTTCAACTGATTTTCGGCAGCCAATAAAGTCACTGTAATCACATTCTTTACAAGCTTCTGTACTTTGATTGGTTGCTTTGAAAGATATATGCCACAAGGTGTGGATATCAGTATCCAAAATTATGTTTGACCATTTGAGACTGAACGTAGCATTAGCACTAGTTGATTACAAAGGATTTTTAGAGATACTATTACATGTACATGTATGTGAGAGGGGTGTTTGTTCTACCACAGAGGGACACCCATCAAATGATGACCACCTATCTATAGTAACTACTTATAGGTAGTCTCGAGGTATGAGGATGAGCAACCTGCAATTTGTTTGTAGAACCGACTTGTTTAGAAACCAAAGAAAAAAATCATCAGCATTGTGTTCTTAAAACAATTTGATTTTAATTAACAGAAATATGATTTTGTTTTGAAACAGTACCATCTCATTATTTTCTGGACAAATATGTCAAAAACATGAGTTGGTGATCCATAAAAAAATAATCCAACCTCCATATAAAGACCACCTGTCTATAAAGACCATTTTGGATGGTCGCTATACACAGGTTTGAGTGTATTTTCTAAATATAATCGCCTACTGCAGAACTTAGTGAAACCCTGTTTAGCATAAAATGATTATCTGATCATACAGATCTGAAAACACTTTTCCACAAACCAACTAATTATTGAGACTATCACTCTCAGTGTGTGTTCTGAACACAACAACATGGTTAGACTATAAGACCCACTATTTCTTTCACACTTGATCTCAAATAACCTCTGACCTTTCTAAATTCACATATTTCATCCTCCAATAGGTGATTTTCCATTCACTGCAAGATCCTGTGTAATGTGTGAAAGACGCAGATCAA